TACAACCTAAATTGAACCACAAAGACATAAGAAACCTAAACAGACTCATAACCAAGACGGAAATTGAATAAAAAAAAAGTCTCACCAAAGAAAAGCCCAAGACCTTCAGCTTCACTGCTGAATTCTACCAGACATTTAAAGAAGACCTAACTCCAATTCTTCCCAGATTACTCAAAACAATTGAAAGGGAGGGAATTATCCCAATTCTTTCTATGAAGCCAGCATCACCTTATTTCCTAAATGAGAAAAAGATGCAACAGAGAAAAAACTACAGATCAATTTCCCTGATGAACATAGATGCAAAAACCCTCAACAAAATTGTAACCAATTGAATCCAGCAACACAGCAGAAAGATCATCCACCCAGACCAAGTGAGATTTATCCCTGGTAGGCAGGGATGACTTAGCATTCGCATATCAACAATGTGATACATCACATTAACAAACTGCTGAACAAAAACCATATGATTATCTCAATCAATGCAGAGAAAGCATCTGATAAAATATAACACCCTTTCATGATGAAAACTCTAAGCAAATTGGGTATACAACACAGTCAAGGCAATTTTTGACAAAAGCCAATGTCCTATAGAATGGGGGAAAAGTTGGAAGCATTCCCACTGAGAATGCCCACCCTCACCACTGCTATTCAATATTGTCCTGGAGTTTTAGCCAGAGCCATTAGGCAATAAAAAGAAATCAAAGGGATACAAATTGGAAAGGAGGATGTCAAACTATCCCTATTTGCAGTGACATGATCCTATATATTGTGGATCCAAAAGACTCTACCAAGAGACTACTGGAACTCATTGAAGAGTTTGGTAAAGTAGCAGGATATAAAGCCAACACACAATAATCAACAGCCTTTGTATACACAGACAATGCCAAGGCTGAGAATGAACTTCTAAGAATATTCCCTGGAGCTGGTGCTGTGGCATAGTGGGTAATGCTGCCGCCGGCAGTACTAGCATCCCACATGGGCACTGGTTTGAGTCCCAGCTGCTCCACTTCCGATACAGCTCTCTGCTATGGCCTGGGAAAGCAGTAGAAGATGGCCCAAGTCTTTGGGCCCCTGCATGCATGTCGGAGACCCAGAAGAAGCTCTTGGCTCCTAGCTTCGGATTGGCACATCTCCAACCATTGCAGCCAATTGGAGAGTGAACCAACAGATGGAAGACCTCTCTCTCTTCTGCCCCTCCTTCTCTCTGTGTAACTCTGACTCAGATAAATAAATAAATATTTTTTTTAAAAAAGATCAATCCTGTTAACAATAGCTACAATTAAATCAAATACTTTGGAATAAATTTAACCAAGGATGTCAAAGATCCCTATGATGAGAATTATAAAACATTAAAGAAAGAAATAGAAGAAGACACACACACACACACACACACAAAAAAAAACGGAAAAATCTTCCATGTTCATGGATTGGAAGAATCAATATCATCAAAGTGCCAATTCTTGCAAAAGCAATTTACAGATTCAGTGTGATACCAATCAAAGTGCCAAAAACATTCTTCTCAGATTTAAAAAAAAATGATGCTGAAATTCATATGTAAACACAGGAGACCTCGATAAAGCAATCTTATACAAAAAAAAAAAAAGCCGGATGCATCACAATATCAGATTTTAATACATACTACAAGGCAATTATAATAAAAACAACTTAGTACTGGTACAAAAACAGATAGATAAACTAATGGAAAGAATAGAAATGCCAGAAGTCAATCCAAGGATCTACAACCAACTTATATTTGACTAAGGAGCTAAAACCAATCCCTAGAGTAAGGATAGTCCCTTCAACAAATGGTGCTGGGAAAACTGGATTTCCACATGCAGAAGTACAAAGCAAAACCCCTACCTTGCACCTTACGCAAAAATACACTCAAAATGGATTGAAGACCTAAATTTACAACCTAACACCATCAAATTATTAGAGAACATTGGGGAAACCTTGCAAGACATTGGCACAGGAAAAGAGTTCTTGGAAAAGACCCCAGAGACACAGGCAATCAAAGCCAAAATTTGCAAATGGGATTACATCAAATTGAGAAGCTTCTATACCACAAAAGAAATATTCAGGAAAGTGATGAGGTAACTGACAGAATAGGAGAAATTATTTTCAAACTATGCAACTGACAAAGAATTAATAACCAGAATACATAAAGAGATCAAGAAACTCCACAGCAACAAAACAAACAATGGGCCACAGACTTTAAACAGACATTTTTCAAAAGAGGAAATCCAAATAGCCAACAAACACATGAAAAAATGCTCAGGATCACTAGCCATCAAGGGAAATGCAAATCAAAATCACAGGGAGGTTTTACCTTATCCCAGTTAGAATGGCTTTCATGCAGAAATCAACAAATAATAAATGCTGGCAAGGATGTGAGGAAAAAGATATCCTAATCCACTGTTGGTGGGAATGTATACTTATGAAGCCACTATGGAAGACAGTATGGAGATACCTCAGGAATCTGTATATAGATCTACCATATGACCCAGCCACTCCCACGAATTTACCAAAGGGGAATGAATTCAGTAAATTAAGAGTTATCTGTACTTGTATGTTGATTGCGACTTAATTCACAATAGCTAAGACATAGAATCAACCTAAATACCTGTCAACGAAGACTGGATAAAGAAATTATGAGATATGTACACTATGGAATACTATACAGCAGTAAAAAATGAAATCCTGTTATTTGCCATCAAACGGATGAATCTGCTAAACATCATAGTGAAATAAGCCACCCAAAGGAACAAATACCGTATGTTCTCCCTGATTTTTGATAACTAATAGAGCACCTAAAGGGAAATCTGTAGAAGTGAAATTGACACTTCAAGAAGCAGTGACTTGAACAGTCCTTGTCTTGACTGTCCAGGAACAGTTTTTTTTTCCCTTCATACTATTTGTTGAACTCTTTAGTTAATGTGGAGTTAATCATATGTGTATAGTCAATTGAAAATAGCTCTCAGTAAAAAATAAGAGTGGGAATAAGAGAGGGAGTAGGAAATTTGTAACTATAAAGGTATATAATTCTGCATACATTCCTAAAGACTTACTTCTATATGTACAGTTTAAAACTTGCCATGGGACCCCAAATCCCACCAAACTGAGTGGTAAAATTGCCATATTAAATGTTAAAGTGATCATATTAATTGTTAAAATGAACATATAAATATAATTAAGCATTGAAGTGATCATATAAAATAGGATCAAGTGTCTGGTGATATTAATAGATAGAATTAAAAAGGAGAGACTGTTCTAACATGGCAAGCAGTCCATACAGTAGATGCCTAGGTGTCCCTGTAAGTAGCACCCTGACCTAAGAATCAGCCCCTATTCCATCCTGGTCTGGCTGAAAAGCCATTGAGAGTATTTCAGGCATGGAAAGCCAAGACACTGTGTCAAAAATGTTCTACATGAAAGATCTCTATGAGTGAGACCCCAGTTGAAAGATGTGGCCAGGAAAGAAGGGTGGAAAGAACTTCTACTTTGCTTATGGCCTTGTTTAAATACTGACGGAGATTGTGGATTCATAAGCTTCCATAGCCTAGGCAGCTCATGTCAAGAGCTTCGGATGGTCACTGATGTCATATGTAATTGTGAAATTAACAACAAGAGTCACTGTGCACTAACTTCCCATGCAGGACCTCTATCCTCCATGAGTTGTATCATGAGAGGTAACTGTAAAATTTGTTCTCAAACAGTTTTTTTTTGTGTAAATTGTTCAAATATTTACTTAGTAAAGAGTTGTTCTTCTGTATGTAAAGTTAATTGAAAAGCAATCTTAATGGAGAATGGGACTGGGAACGGGAGAGGGAGGAAGACGAGGAGTGGGCATACGGATGGGAGGGTAGGTATGGTTGGAAGAATCACTATATTCCTAAAGTTGTACTTACAAAATTTGTATTCCTTAAATAAAAGGTTTCTTTGGGGAAAAAAAAGGCGAATAGCTCTAAAAAAATGTAGTGCCTTGGAAAAGCAGCATCAACACCCCTGTGCAGCGCAATAAAACTTCATACTCTGGGTCCCCTTCTAGGCCCGACAAATCAGAATCTGAATTTTTAATATGACTCTCCTTTCACATGAAATATATGAGCACAATAAAGTTTCAGAAAATTGACAAAATGCAATTTTGGGGCTTCACACCTTAAACATCTGATTTGCTTGATCAAAATGAGGTCCAGAAATCTAAAAACACCACCACAGTTCTACCTACTTTTTAAACAACTTTGTTTTTAGGTTGTGTTGCATGGTGGAAATTGTACAGGCAGTGTATGTAGATAGTACTGAATTCAAATCTCAGCTCTACTACCTCCCAACCAGGTAATCTCAACTGAGTGGTTCAATTTATTGAGCTTTAGCTTCTTCAGCTGTTAAATGGAAATATTAATGCCTACACCTCCAGCTGTGGGTTTTAAAAGTGGTGACATTTATAAAGTACCTAATATAAAATCTTCGACACATAGTAGGTATTTAAGAAATGTTGTAGAATAGTTCACTTGACTAGGCCATTGAACAGTGGGCTAGGCCTGAGAGAGTTAATTTCAACCACAGGGACAAGGAAGGCCAAAGGGGGCTGGCCAAGGTGTGATATCTGATTTCTGTCATTTAACTCTGACCTTAAAGATGCTGAGAACAGATCAGAATACAGTAGCTATCAAGCTTTATCATAGATTAAGAACCACCTGGATGCTAATTAAAAATGCTGACTCTTGGGTGCTGCATCTCAGAGATCCTGTTTCATCAAATCCAGGGCAGATCCTGGGGATCTGCATTTTGATCTCCAGGAGATTCTGATGCATGAGTCCTCCAACCTCGTGTGGGTCCTTGAGATGATAATGGGAAATTCACAGAGAAGGAATATGATCCTACTTGATGTTTACTTTGCTGGGAGCTGGGGCTTCCAAGAAGATGATAGGGTCTTTGCTGCTGTGCTATGACATAATTAAGAACAGCAACCCAGAAGAGTGACAGAGAAAAAGCCATACCTGGGCTTCTGTGGCTTCAATGCTGTGAGAGAGATTTCCATTTTGTACAGGTTCTGAAATGTCACTGGTTGGTGTCATTTCCACTTCTGTGCTGGTGCTGTTTGGGAGTTCTATTTTTTCTACAATATAATTAAAACACACACACATACACAGAGAGAGAGAAAGCAAATGGAATCAGTGTTGACAAAGAGCCATATGAAAAAGAACATTCTGTGTCTTGGGCAAAGGAGATGGTGGTGGTGTCCAAGGGGTAGCAAGGGCCAGGACTGGTGCTGAGTCAGATGAAGAAAGGTTTTGACCTTTCTTACCTATGCCGTCTAGCATACTGGCCTTCTCCCCTCATTGACAGTGGTTTGGCTTCCACTCTGGCATGATGTCTTCACCTGAGTGCCCTCAGCTCCCATAGTATGTCTTTCTCTAGTCTAGGCAAAATTACCAACTTCAAGAACATAAACACAGATGGCTAAAATCCCAAACCATGCTCAATCAATACACTGTTGTTTAATCCCAGGGCTACCATCCTCCAATATTTTCTTATAGTAGGGTCTTCTCTGTGCTCTGGAAAGGATATTGACTAGGGCATTGGCGTCCCGGGCTTTACTCTGCCACTTGGGCTGTCATCTTGGATAATCTCCCTCTCCCTAGGGATTTCCAGAACCGTATCTGTGAAGTGAGGCAGTTCAACTGATTGACTTCATGTCCATAGCTTTCCACTCTTAATTTTCTTAGCCTCTGAGAGTGGAAACTCTCTGTGTCTAGGCAGCCTCAGGGAGGGCAGGTTTGGGAAAATGGCCCTTCTTGAAACGCCTCAAGAATGCAACTTAATCACCTTCCACTCCTGGGCATCCTTATTATAAGGAAGGCAATGGGTTGCTGGACATAAAACAGAAACCAAGGTCTGGTCACTCTTGAATAAGAGAATATCTGGTTAGAGGAAAAACAGGAGTCTGAAAATGCAGAGTCAGGTTTTATTTGAGAGTTAAAAATGATGCAAGGATCATGACTCAGCACTAGGACTCGATGACACTGGGAATTAGCCCTGACTTCCTACTCTGGCTCTCCAGCTTATACTCTGTGACCCTTACCAAGTGGCTTGAATTCTCTGAGATTCAGTTTCAGTATTGTGATGAGAACAATATAACTACTATTACTCCTCATCCTCCTAACAGCAAGAATGACAACATGATCAAAAGATACTTCTGTAAAGATTAAAGAAGAAAATGAATACAAAGCACTTACCACAGTGCCTGGAACAGAGCAAGCAAGCAATGCAAACTATCCATATCCTCATTACAGCACCTGGATTTCACTAGATTTGTTGTTCAAGGCTAGGAGGAACACCTTCAGGTGACCCGTGTTCAGGCACCACGGAAGTCTGCTGGGACTTCAGTGTGAGGGAAGTACAAATGTTCTTATGGGTACCACATTCTCTTTCTGTGCTGGTCAGGCTGTGGATTTCAGGAATGAACAAAGATGTGTAGTGTAGTTTCAGGGTTGCTGGGAGTATTACAAGGTGAGCAGTATAAGTTATGAGGAGCAGTGGCAGGCTGTTCATAGAGTATCAGAATATGTTTATTTTTAGCAACTTTAAAAAGGCTATAAACATTTCTATGACTGGTGGTTAAGAAAATACTTGTAGAGTAACATAAAAATTGTTGAGTTTGAAGTGGCCAAAGTTTGAAAACCACAGGGAAGTGTTTACATTTATTTATATATTTAGTTGTAAAATAGAGTTATAACTATAAACTTGGAAAATTATAGAAATTCAAATTTACTTTGTCTTTCCATTTTTAGTAGTGATAGAGAGATGACGGTGATGTTCTGCTGAGTATAGCTATGTCTGTTTATCTTAATTCATTTTATCTTGATTCAGTTATTTAAACTAAACAATACTTGCTACCATGGGGAACATTAAAACTTTGGGTGAGTTTGTTGGCTGAAGTGGTACCTTTGGATCAGCCAGCAGTCGCCAGATTGAACTCTAACAACACATGTATAGGTACCCAAGCATCTAAAATGTCTAAGAACATGCATGAACAAATGAGAGGAAACCACCTCATCATACTGATTTGTGTATATCTTAGCTTAGCTTGTGAAATGCTGTTATAATCTTCACCAAACAAAATGTAAAAATAAGTCTTAGACTTACTTTGAAAAGCATTTCAGACACATAATATTTTTAGTTACAAAGTCATCTGGAGGACAAATCAACGGAAGTAGGATCTTTGGAGTTATAGGTCCTATGTCTTCACAGAAGATTAAATCTAAGTTCAGGCAATCTTGGGGGAGGACTGGGTCCAAACCCAGGCATTTAACTTTTTACTCCAAGCTTCCTCATTTTACAAAAGAGAAATCAGGTGGAGCAGAAAAAAATGGCTTGTGCAATTGAACCCAAATACCTCAAGCAAAACTTCACCTTTTCAAAGACTTTTATGATATGGCTTTACATTTTTATAAAAAAGAAAAAAATGCTCATTTAAAAAATTGTACAAGTTCACAGAATCATAAAGAAGCAGAGAAAAAATTATAATTTATAATCCCAACTTCAAGAAGTAACTATTGTGACCATTTTAGCTGATTTCCTTCCAGATTTTATTTCAAATCCCATTTGAATCTTGACTGTTTCTTGGCCAAAAATTTCCCCTGAGCTTGGAGTTGGGATAACAGGATAGGCAGAAACTCTTCTACAAGTGTCATGCATTTTAAGTGCAATACTGTTGAATTTTGTCTGCAGATAATTTTAGTTACTTGGGCAATAGCCTCGTTTATAGCATGGATCCAGATTAGGTTAAATTTAGTTTGAATTTAGAATTAGAGAACTGTATTATAGTTACAGACAGGAGAGGAGGAACATCATGTTCCAAGTTAAAATAAGATGCCTGAATGTCACAATCTGGTCACATAGGAGTTCTGAAAAAGTCAGCCAAAAGAGACCTGGGCTGATCTTGCTGAATTCTTACGAAAGGAAAGCCAGCATTATTTCGAAGGAATTCTGTCACTCAGTTTAGGAGTGACTAAATGGTAACTTTGTGGGTATGCTGTAAGGAATGCTATAGGTATAAAATCTTGTTACCAAACATGAATTACAAAAGGAGGACTCACACCTTTGGTTTAACATTGAATGATATATGTGTGTCCTTTTCTTGTGGAATGCCTAAAATGAAGCTGTTTTCTGCTTTTGATTGGAGGTAGCTGCTTAGGGGCTTGTTTGACTTCAAGTTCCTCATAGAACCATTTCATTCTCCTTAGACTTGCCCTGGAGAGAATGGTGACATACGGTGTCTACTCATGTCTTGTATCCACCCGGGGAAGGGGCTCTTCCTACTACCCAGGAAGAAGTAGAGCTGACAGGTTCTGTGTCTGCCCCAAGTCAGAGGTGCCAACACTGGGTCTTGTCTCTCCACTCCCCACCAAGTCCCCCAGGAATGGCACGGGATGGCAGTCTCCCTGAACTCACCCACGTGATTGGCAGCCCCATTCTGCCTCTCGTTCTCATCCACTTGGCATTTCTTCTTGGCGATCTTGTGAAGAATGGAAGCCTTTTCTCTGAACCTCCCTGAAGCAAGAGAAAGTGGCAGGAAGCATACAGATAAGGAGAAGGATAGAGTCTTGTGGCTAATGGTGAGGCATTGGCAAAGTAGGCAGGTGGCTTCCTCAGTGAGCTTTACTACGGCAGTGGCTACTCCATTCTCTCAACTGGAATGTCCTATGACCTGCATGAAGGGCATTTGCTTCAGCTTTGTGGATTCTTCAGCTCAATTCTCTCTTGAAAGACTCAAGCTACTTGATGAGACTTGTGATTTAAACCCTTCCCCTTCTCTTCCAGTTACTCATAAAAGAAATGAAAGCACAAACATCACTAAAACACCCCTACTGCTGAGATCTAAAACAGATGTCTAAACAGAACTGCTCTGGAGCAAAATGATTTCTCTGGAATTAAATGTTCATCCCAGACTGGCTTTTGACAATGGACTTGGGAGGAAAGCCAAATCTAGTGGGTCCTTTGATTTGACTGGGTTTCAGACATTTGTCATAATCAACATTGTAGTTTCTAAATAAGTCAGGCACAAGCATCAAAGCTATCCACATCAGCTGAGTCAATGGCAATTAAAGCATCAAGGAGGCAACTGATTCCATTTGGGGATGTAGGGCAAAGAATGATCAGATGAGCACAGCAGGTAATGTTGGTGATGAGATGCTTTGGGAAAGGTGCTGGAAAAATACCATCCTCAAAGTGTTTACTTTAAACAGCTATATCATAAATGTAACGCTTCATTTCTTCTGTTACTGACATAATTAATTGGTAAATACATGCAACAAGCACAGAAAATAGCATGCAAAAGTGTACAGATTAGTAGCACATTTCTCTTTTTAATCCTTGGTTTTCTTTCTTGAGAACATTGAAAGTAAAAAGATTTTCACTTTAAGACCACTGATCCCTGTATTCAGATATGATGAGTTTCTAAAACACAACCCCTAGAATATTCCCTCCGGGCATTTTTTTGTTGGCTGTGATCCCTATCAGCATAATAGGAATCATTCTACTTTTCTAGTTAGAAGCAAACCAAACTGAAGTGTTCCTCTTGGAGAATTTCTTCTCCCAGGATGGGACATGGCAGGCAGATACTCACTACCCTTCCATCATCATAGATAGGAATCATGGCGTATAGTCCTAGTAATGACTTGTGTGACTGGTTGGGAGTGACAGAGCCTATAATTTGGAATCAGATCAGTTGATTCCAATGGTGAGGGTGTCACAGGATAGGGCCCTTTTGGCTCACAGGTCCATTAGCCATAAACCTTGACCCCTCAGTACCATAAAGGCAACTTCTAGGACATTAGTCCCTCAGTGTTGGTAATGAGTGTGCACCATAGGTTGTACTCTCAAAGAAGGCAGAAAGGGAAACATTACACAAAGAAGTGGAGGTTGGGATGTGGCTTGCACAGCATAAGCAATGAGAAAGCAGGATGAGGTGGTGGGCATGGTATTCATTCTTGAGAAATGTTGGTTAGCATGAACTTCACATCCTGGAAGGTATTTTGAATTTGGTCGTTTCTGTTTAATCTCCAAGAGAAAGTGTGGGAAGAAAGAAGGAAAAGAAATTAAACCCAAGGACTAGAAAAAAGGGGTAAAAGAGCGAGGAAGGAATAAAAGAAGAGAAATAGAAGTAGAAATAGAAGGAATACAAGCAAAGAGGTGGTCTGCAGGGCTTGTGATTGCCTGGAGGTGTGGATTAAAGTAGCTCATCTGGCTGGAAAGTCTGTATTATGTGTGGACTAGAGGAACAAATAATGAGTGAGCTTCTCTGTACTCTGCAGGCTAAATAGGGCTTTACTTCTTGTGGAGGACAATGCCCAGAAATCCTGAAATCATGTGTGTTTTTTTAGCCCAGAAGAGGAAAAAGGAGATTTTGAAACTATTAGAGATGATGCTTCTACCAATGAAACCATTTTACTGTGGACTCAGTGTCATTCTTTGAACTCAGAAAACTCTGCAGCTCTATGAAATAAGATATTTGCTACTTTTAAATTACATAAAATTAATAAGGCAGCAAAGCATTCTGAAGAGAGAATAAACAAGCATATGGAAATAAAACCTAAAGTAACCCAATCCAAATACTGTCCTAAAGTCATGAATCATGGCAGAGAAAATACTTGATAGAAGCTAGCTAATCACATGTTGTTTGTGGTTACAAGAATCTTCTAGGCCGGCGCCACGGCTCAATAGGCTAATCGTCCACCTAGCGATGCCGGCACACCGGGTTCTAGTCCCTGTCAGGGCGCTGGATTCTGTCCTGGTTGCCCCTCTTCCAGGCCAGCTCTCTGCTGTGGCCAGGGAGTGCAGTGGAGGATGTACTTGGGCCCTGCACCCCATGGAAGACCAGGATAAGAACCTGGCTCCTGCCTTCGGATCAGTGCGGTGCGCCGGCCGCAGTGCGCTGGCCGCAGCGGCCATTGGAGGGTGAACCAACGGCAAAGGAAGACCTTTCTCTCTGTCTCTCTCTCTCACTGTCCACTCTGCCTGTCCTGTCAAAAAAAAAAAAAAGAATCTTCTAAGAATTTAGATAATAAAAATAATAAAAAGGACCCAAAAGCACGTCAGGGCACAGCCACATCCTCTGTTAGGAAGGGTCTTTCAGAAGAATGTTGGCTACTATTACTCTGGGAATATTTTTCCCAAATCTTCCTATGGAAGGCTGGGATAAAGGGTAGCAAATGATTCTAGAATTTTGATTTTGTAGGTTCTCAAATATTTTACATGCCAGTAAGGGTCTTCTATATGTGTGTTACTACTTTTCCTATGATAGCAGCCTTTCAGATTTTTCTGTGCCACTAAAAAGTAGAAGGGTTTAGCTTTGTTATTATTTTACTTTGGGTCTAGTCCAAGTAGTCCAAGGCAAGGTGGAGAGTTGTCTTCTTCATGAACCCTTTGAGAACTTCTTTGCTTCAGCCTTTTCCCCTACCATTCTTTATCCCAACCATCATGACCTGGCAACCATTTGGAATTGTAAGTGCTGATAAAAGGATTTTCCTTTAAAGATTAATTTCCAGACTGGTAGCTGCTTGTGGGGACAGTCTGAAAAAAAGCAAAGTGTGCTCATTCTGGTCCATTGGGCACCCCTGTGATCACAGCAGGGAACTTTCTGAGAACTGCTGTTACAATTGAGTCTCACATGTCAAGAGGGAGCAGGAAGTTCCTGGTACAAAAGCCAGCAACGAATCTGTGATTCTCAAAGTGTCCTTTTGTTTCTTGATGTAGGAAGACATGGCACCTTTATGTCATATTCCTCTCCAAGCCATCAGATGGGGGAGAAAATAGAGCAGAGTTTGTGTGTTGGGGCAACAGCACTGTGGTTAGGTGGATGTGATTTAGAGGCAGGTAGGTTTGAGTTCAAGACTCAGCTGTTTCAATGGCTCTGCTGGATGGTATTTGGTAAGTTCTTGTTCAGTTTTCTCACCTGTTAAATAGGGATTCCTTGGTATTAGTGCATGAATTAAATGTTAGGCTTATGTGAGAAAATCTGTGTAAAGGGTTTTTCACAGTGCCTGGCATTGGAAGAACTCTGTAAATAAGAGAAAAAGGAAAACAAACCAAAACCAGAACTAAACAAAACAAAACAACTTGGGGGCAAGAGTGACATGACCCTGATTTGCTTTAACAGGATCATTGCCATTTTCTCTTCCTTCAATCCATAGAAGCAGGACTTGATAATCAATCAGCCACATCAAAATCCAGTAGTTTAGGTATCCAGGACCTTGTTGGATTGATGCTCAGGTTTCTGGGCACCCTCCAAGACTCAGCTCAAAACCAATTAGTAGGTGATCACTTTACATCTTTCTGCAACTGAAAAGGTTAAGGTGATGTTTTAAACATTGATGCTTTACAATCTTAAAATGTGAAGAAGATGATCTGCTTTCTCCCATCACATGTAAGGACAGAAAGGAGGCCACGGAGCTCCTGCTGCTGCACAATGGATTTGGATTGACTAAAAAGAACTTTTGATGCTCAAGGCTCTTTACTCCTATATGTTTCAAGTTCAGCATTTTATCATAGGGATAAGAACACTAGCTCATACAGTTAGAGAAAGGTTCAATGAATTAATGCACATCAAGTGTTTTGATGCCTTCTGATATGTGAGGGGTCTTCAAAAAATCATAGAAAATGCATATTATAGAAAAAACTATGCACACATTTCAAAACATTTTTTGCACCAAAACAAACATAATTTCTGATTCCACTTTGCCATGAACTCTTTGAAGTATCTTGTAAGTAAGTGCTTACTTACAAGAAAGGATTGTTATTTTTATGGAAGTAAAGGACATAAGCTACTAAAACTAAGATTGATATTTATATTAGAATTGATGTCTAGCAACCGCGTATACAGACCATGGCGGTAAAGGGATTGCTTAGACATTTTAGGCAGATTCCATGTTGTCATAGGGGGTGGTACAGATCTAAGAAACAGTTATGTAACTCTGTGCTTAGGGATAAATAATCAAGATAGCTTTGAGTACTTTTCAAGGTGAGCAAAGGAGTGATTTTTAACATATTTTAAGACAGCCTTAAAAAATATACTCTGTTGTGGTATAAACCCCTAAGGTGTTATATTTTTATATAGCCACAGATATTTGTATTCTTAGAAATCTTAGAAATAGCAAACTCTGTTCAAATCGTGAGGCACCTACGTCAAAACCTAGTACATAATTTTAATACAGTTTGGCTTGGACTGAAATTTGCAAGAGTATAAGCTGAGTGTCCTCAGAGGAGTGTGTGTTGAGGGGGTGGTAGTGAGGTGTGGAAGGAAAGATCAAAGCATAAAGGCTTAATGTGAATAAGAATGAATTTTGAAAAACAATCTGAGATTGAAATCCTTGACCACATCATTCTGACATAAAACAGAAGACCCACGCTGCATTGCAAAATGACTTTTGAGGGTCTGTTCATTACAAGGAAATGAATTTCACTCCTGTTCTGCTGTTAATTAAAATAGCCCCTTGGAAATTCCTTCACATCTGTCCCATCAAGCCTGTGATAGTGCTGCAAAGAGAGCCCTT